CATTGACAGACCCAATGAAAAAACACAATATGAACAGTTCCAAAACTCCCAAACCTTGCAACACTCACAGCTGAGCCAATGGCAAGGGATGTCTGCCTCCCAGAGCTTCCACCACTGCCGAGTCACAATGCCACGGACAAAGTACAACACTTGCACCAGCCCAAGCTCAATCTTGCCAGTCTCTACATTTTAGGCAAGGAGTTGGGGGGTAGTCATCCCCACAAGGGGGTTTAGAGGGCTGTGACCCCTAAAATTGAAACTGTATAAATACTGCATAACCAAACTCTACCATTTCCTGAGGATAGCTCATGCCCCTTCCACCAATGAATGCATGCTAGAAGTGATGAGGAACCCATCAATTCCAAATTAGGTTGAATTCAAAAGGCAGAATAGTCTTAGAAAATCACCAAATAAGAAAGAAAAGGACTGCATGACCTGACTGCATTCTACATGCTTTAAAATCCTGCAAAGACCAACATACCTACTACAAATATATTTGGCAGGATAAGGCTTAAGCTAATTCTTCATATGCCTGTCAAACCTCTACCATGTATATTTGTTGACCATTCAACTAACTTTATCATGCCAGAATATACATGGGGGTGGTTTGATTTCCTCTGTCATTGCATAAACTTGGCCACACACATAAAAAATTGCGGAAATATTTTCATTGTCCTATTCAGAATATTTACAAATATTGATATCATTTGCTGGAAACTGACAGTTACTTTTACAATACATCCTTATATTTATAAACCAAAATTGCTTTGAAAACCTTTTTCCGTTTGATTTGTATGACTGCTGCTCAAAATTCAAAATTAATCATCAATACTCTTGTTTTGGGATTATTTGCCTTCACACAAATACTATTACACCAAGAAATATACATTTTTTTTCTTTATTTTCATCTTATTTCAAAAGCAATCATCAGCATCTCTCCCCGTGGCAATGCCCTGGCAGCTCCAATGGGCATTTTCTTGTCCAAACAACCATTGCCAATCACGAGTGCTCAATGCTATCCCTCGCATTTCTTAAACGCTTCGCTGGCCGTACAAATGAAACCCTACACCCCCTAATTCCTACACCACTGTGACAGTTCCACGGCAAGATACGTCTCTGGAGCCAGCCAGGGCCCAGGAGGGAGCGGAAAGCGCGGAAAAGGCGGCAGAGAAGGCGAATGAGCGAGAAGGAGCAGCGGCGTCCCCATGCAGGCTCCACAAGTGACACAAAACATCTATTTCTGACAACCAAACGCTCTCTCCGGTCACTCACACTGCCGCTCGTGGTCATCTTATCGAGCTTCTTCTTGATCTTGAGCACTTCGTCATCGCAACCCATGGTTACCAGCGGAGCCTCGAGCGGGGAGAGGATTTCAGTCAGAAAAAGGAGGGATCGGCGGCGTAGTATCGAGTCCAGGAGACGCCGGCGACGACTGCGGGAATCGGGCCGCTACGCCGCGCCGCCGCCGAGCGCTCCTTGCTCGCCTAGCGCTGCTCGCTAAGCGGGCGGGCTTCGGGCTCATCCGAGGACTTGGCTTTGCGTTTGAATATTTTTGTAGGGCATTTTGCCACCTTTGTGTTTACAGTGCTACCCCGACCTCGCCGTCGACAGTTTTCCAACTCGCTTAGCATTACTTGCTATTTTGGTCGAATTGATGGAGTTGTCTCAATCTTTATTTTGTACATGGCAGAATTATTTGTAGGAGCGCTTTATCAGTTGTTATGCTCCTAATACCCCTCTCCCGCCATCGAAATACCCGCCACTGAGTTAGCGTTTGCTGCTAATTTGATAAGCTTACGGCCTCATTTATTATTTTGTCAAATCGGAAATAAGAGAAATATGTTTTTTAAATGAACGTATATTTGGCTATATTGTGATATATAGGTTAGTGAGTACGAAATATATCAATGCCGACTTTACAGGAAGACTCGCTCACTGCGCTACGCCTTTCCAGCAACCAAGCCAGTTAATGCTGAGTAAGCGCTTCTTGCTACTTAGGTTAAAGGGCTTGTTTGTTTGTTTATTTTTAGGCTTCTTTGCTTTAACATGTATTTCAGGACATGGAAATCATTTTTATATTGGAATTCAGATGATTTATTTGGCCTAGTCATCTATGATATACAGGAAAATATATCAAGGGTATTTCTTTGATTGGTATTATCCCCCCTCCGCTTTAACGCTTCCATCACTCCAAGCACATCTACAACCATACCAATAATCAAAACTAAGAATCAATACGAAATCCCTCAGATATATATTTTCCTACCACAAGGCGCACGCACTTGACACCTCGCTATCAAATTGGCGCGCAGATCCCTGACAAAGCGCCGCGGATAAAGTCCAACTTGGAAAATCCTTCAAATTCGTACGTGATCACAATTTAAAATTATTTTGTTAGCTATAATGGATTTTTTACTTTCCAAAATGCATAGAATAAGGTCATCTTAATCATAGAATTCCCGATAATACGATAAAACTATTCCCCGAAATCGAGGAAAAAATAACCGCCTCGAGATAAATAACATAAAGTCTCGATGAATAAGAAGAAAGCGAGAAAAATCAGACTAACCAGCTTGATTTAAATAAGAAGAAGTTTAGATAAATAAGAAGAAGACAAGATAAACAGGAAAAAAGTCGAGATAAATAAGAAGAAAAACCGCTTCGAGAGAAGGAAAACGGAGCGAGCCCAACACACACACACCTTCCCGCTGAGAGACAACACCTATCGCCTTTTCTCTCTCGTTTCCCTTCCTTTTTGTCCTCCACGATGGCCGAGGGCGAGGGAAGCGGCACAGTGACACCTGGGGAAGAGGAAGAGGAGTCGGGCATCTCGATGGTAGAAGTATTAGAAGAGGAACAAGAGAGAGAACTGGACGCGGCGGCTGTGTTGGGGGCCTCCGATGACACCAGCTGTACTTACGACCAGGTGGGTTATAGGGCTGAAGGAAAGCTGTTTTCCTTGTTCTTGTTTGCCTCAGGGATTAGGGTTCGGGGGTGTCATATGGGAGCGGAATAGGAGCGTAAATCTTGCTAAAAGGTCTTGCTCGCTGATGCTGAAGAAGGGGGCCAGGTGGGTCGCCCTCGACTTGCTCTCTCCCAGAGGAATTTTGCGCTGGCTCACCACCCCCAGCGACGTTAGGAGATGGCATGGAGTGTGCCAGGGAAATGACGGGGTCAGAATCATAAAAAATACAAATGAAATGAATAACCTATGCTAATATGATGCCAGGAAACATATGCTTTGTCTAGGGGCTGTACCCTCAGTAACTTCCATCAAAGGGGGCTGCCATCCCCATCTGCTCTAAAGAAACTTGACCTCCATATCCTTTGTCAGTAAAGAACCCAGACAAGGCATCAAGATCAGGAAACAAAACCTTTGCCATTCCTCTTGATGTATCGTGCAGCTCTTAAGAGAGATGCCAGACTAGCTAGGCTAATGAAAGCTGAGGGGACTGTCATTGCAAGCAAGACACCTGTTCTTCCTCAGGGAGCCAATGGGGGAGGGCTGCCACCAACTCCTTTTACAGTCATGTTTGCGTCTATGCATATCCATTTTGCATATGCAGTTCTAGTACGAGTTTAGTGTCAGATATTATTGGTAACATAGATTTCCCATGTGATACTAACTTGTGAAAGAATATAGATTGAAGTTGTCACCAGTATATATTGATATGGTTTGGATAAGCATGAGAGCTCACAGCAGTGGCAGAAAAGGCCTGGAGATGAAGAACACAAGATTCCAAAGCTAATATTTTATCTTTCAATAAAGGTTCATATTTTTTTCTGCCAGTTTATTAACAGTTAGATTTTCTTACTCAAAAATATACAATCTGCTCTCTGTAAAAAAAAAAAAAAAAAAAAGTTAAATTTATTTGGTTATATATTATATGGAAATCTCTTAAGGTGCATGAGAACTCTGCAAGTAGATAAATGACACAATGTTTGTGTTTGGAAATTCTGGGCGAATACAACTATACTCCCATCTAATCAGGAAAGGGATTTCAAGCAACTCACCCAGGACATTGGAGTATTCCAGTTCCGCAAATCTCTTGTGAGAAAAGATAATAACGAGGTTTAAGGAATTGAACATGTTTCGTATAATTTGTAAAAATACCAAGAATATTTAAAATATGCATTAAGTATCAGTTGATTAGAATAAAAAGGAAATGATAATTCTTTGCAGCATAGATGTACTCATGAGAGATTAAGTCCCCAACTTTATTCAAAGTCTATTCAACAGTCTTAAGTTGCCATGATTGGGAGTGCCCTTTGGGTACTGCCCAAGGGTAGGGTTGATAGGGGGCCTAGCCTACCCCAACACCCCTTGGGAAGCATTGTCTTCTTGGTATGCATGTCAAGATAGAGCTGAAACTCAAGAGCATCAAGTGGACTTCAGCAGTGGGCAGTGCTATTTCATTATCTTTTTCAATTATTTGTGGCACTATTGTTTGAATCTGCAGATTATTTCTCGTACCAATGTCTACAACGTTTTTGTCCTTTACAAGAATATCATTTTCAGTTTGCCCTATTTTAGTGTGACAATACTGTAAAAATTAACCATGGACTCAAGAGTCCTGAATGTACTATACATATCTTCTGTTTCTAATAGAAGTACAAAGTCTATATTGTAGGCATTTAGAATACAGTATATATTTTTTTATTACTTTATACTCAAAGGAGAAGACTTGTTACTTGTATATATAACATGTAAATTTATATTGACCTGAAGAGTAATGTATTAAGATAGCAATGACAAATTTACCCTTTTTCTACTTAGGGTAACATGAAACGTCAGGCTCTGTATGCCTGCATGACATGTTGCCCAGCAGACAGTGAGCTTTTGGCAGGAGTGTGTCTGGCTTGCAGCTATCACTGCCATGAGGACCATGAACTCGTAGAACTCTACACAAAGAGGTCAGTAATTGTATGTTGTTTGATTTGGTAGAATTACATCTAAACTGGACATAGTTTATCTCCAGTCACAAATATCATGTCTGTTCAGTGTTATACTGTTATCTCTACAATTTTCATTAAAAAAAAAGTTACCATGAAGTGCATCAAAACCAGTCAGTGCTAATAATAGCAACTGCAATAGGTGAAGGAGAAGTATGAATTAAGTGAAGAAAAGGTTGTGAGATGGAAAATCAGTGAATACCATTGTTTACAGTTTAGGAAACACATGAACACTATAGTACCAGTATCCCACATAACTTTGGTAAGTTTGATATGCTATTCATATGGTATCCAAATTTCAGAACTTACTATAGATGTTAAGCAACACCTGATCGTATAAAAATATATTGAATCAAATGCCGGCATTATAATGAACTCTAGTATTCAGTCATCATTAGACATCTTTAGATAAATTTGGTTTGACCACACTTGGTCTAGTAATTAGTTCAAAGAATCAGACTTACTCCTCACTCATACATTTTATCAATTACTGAACCACTGAAACTGCGTTTTCTTTTCTAGCTGTTTATTGATGTTGTGGATGTAATTTTTCTAGTGTAATTGCTCTACCAATGGACAGTTGTATCATAGATTACTAACTTGTGTATAATTGCAATGTCTTCATGACTGATCTTGCTGTAATAACAGGACAGAGGTTGATATAAACATTGTTTTGGCATCTGCTATGTGTATGTTTGTTGCACTTACGGTTTTGTTATTCATATTTGCCAGTACACAGCATACATCATGAGTGATGTACAGATACAGATACATGACCTTTCCTTTCCATTGTAAACCAATGGAAATACTTGTCAGTGTTTCTCAAAACTCTCTCATTGAGTATAATGGTATATCAGCAAGAGTCATGAAAGAGCACAAGCCTCCTTGGAACAAAGTTAGACTTCAGGAGCAACAATGAAACTTAGGAAACTGTACAATGAGTGTCAATATTCCCAAAGCCTACTTGTCATCCATTTTCTACATATGGAGATAGCTAAGGAGACCATAGGAAATAGATTGAAAATTGTGAGATGAACAGAAATAGATAGGAAAGGAAAGAGCCCACAATACATTTTATTGGAAAAATCAACAGACATAGTATATTGGAATATGTATATGCATTTATTATTGATACTGATTTTGATCATCAAAGCATTATAACCATGGTAATTACAGATTCCATTTCCATCATGATTTTGCTATTGTCTTTTATAAATAACATAGAAATTAAAAATGTTATTGCTTAGTTTGTTGGTAACAGATCATGATTAATAATTGCATATTATCGAAGCCATTCATTGATGCCTAAAACAGAGGTGTGGTTCATGCATTTTTGGGGTTTCTTTTATTTTATGAAGGCATAATAATCTTTCCTGCATATAATGACTCTTATGACAATTGCTTTTAAGCCACATTTCCTTATTTTCCTATCAATAAAACCTTCTTAACTTTGTAATTTATGG